TTTACTGTATTTGTGTGGGTCTGTTTCAAGGGTCTCTATTCTGTTCTGTTGATCTATTTGTCTACTATTTCACCAATATAATACTGTCTTGACTAATTGAGTTTTATAGTGAGTCTTGAAGTCAGGTAGTGTTAAGTCTTCCAATTTTATTGTTCTTTAGTATTGTGTTGGCTATTTTGGGTCTTTTGCCTTTCCATGTATACTTTAGAACTAATTTGTCAATATCCACAAAATAACTTCCTGGGATTTTGATTGGGATTGCATTGAATCTATAGCACAAGTAAATGTGAAATTTACTCAAATTGCAAATTACAAATATGCTCAAATTGTTCCCCAATATGTCAGTTGCCTTGACACAAATTCAGCAAGTGATAAAAGTCGAACTGGCTCTACACAGATATATATACTTTTTTCCCTGAACCATTTGAAAGTAAGTCGCAGAGGTGATAATACTTCACTCCTAAACATCTAATAATAAACCTTTTAAGAATAAGGACATTTTCCTACATGACCACAATACCATTACTGCTTCTAGGATAATTAACACTAATTCGTAAGTTAGGTTTTTAAAGACATTCCTGTCCTTAATAAAGCTTCTTGTTTTGTTTTGTTTTTGTTTTTTTAATGCCCATCCTGTCCTGTTCCAGGCACTATACTGTGTTGGGATGTGAAGACAAGCACAATTCACGCCTTTTAGAAGTTCACACACTCCCGGGGAGACAGACATCCAAGATTATGATAGTGTGGGATAAGGGCCATAGTAGCTGTATGTACTTTCCTTTCATTTGAGTGTGTCAGCAGAAATGTGCTTCCCAAGAGATAAAGATCACTCTTCCCAGAGTGGCATTCTAAAGCCTGTGCCCCATTCTATGATTTGCCAGCCTGGTCCTGATGGTTCTTTCTTCCCAACCCACAGGGGCTTGCGTCCATCTGAAAGTGAAGGAAGTAACAGGATGTCATTCACTCCCTCTGATTCTTTCAGTTTCTCTGTAATTAGGATTGGCCAGACACAGAGGAGCAAGAAGGGGGACTTTGAGAAATGGCTAAGGAATGGGGGACTTTATCCTCTAGGTTAGCTATGTTAAGTAGGGCATGGGTTTGGACATGAATACCAGAGACCCAAATTAACAGTGACTTAATCAAGATAGGAATTTATTTCTTTTTCATGTAACATAAGATAGCTGGCCTAGAGCTGGAATGCTGGCTCAGATCCCCTGGGTCATGCAGGGACCTAGGCTCATGTTGGCTATGGCTCCATCATCCCTTCCGCGATAGGTCACCACATCCACATTCTAGGCAGCAGGAAGAAGAGGGCAGCATGCTCCTTCCCTTTCGGACATATTCCGGAAACCTTACACTGCACTTCTGTCTACGTCCCACTGGCCATAATTTATTCACAAAGGTACTAAGAAACATAGTCTGCATTTTAGAGGCCGTGTACCAAGCTAAAAATAGCAGGTTCTATTCCATAAGAAGGAAAGAGTGAATATTGAGGGACAACTTGCAGCCCCAATATATCTATGTATTTTTTAAAATGCCTTCTATAAAATTAGTCTCTTAACATATTATTTAAAAATAGATTTATTGGCCAAATAATTTGGGGAAACATTAAGCACTGTATTGATCTCATGGAGATTCATAATGTAGAGTGGCATATTAAAGGCTCTGAGAAGTTCTGCAATAAAGGAATTGTCTATCTTTGTTTAAGATAGTGTGACAAAAAAAAACCACATTTTACAAAATTATTTTTTTTTTTGCAGAAGCCCTGTCAACATAAACTTGGGAAATATTGGAATCAGTGAAAATTCTTAGTTCGTGGTGATGCAAACATTTTTAAAGCAGTTCTCTCCTAGGGATGTAGTCAACAGAAATGTGTGTATATATGTTGTGTCAGTCAAAGTTCAATCAGAGAAACAGAACAACTAGGAGATATATAAAGGGATTTGTTGTAGGGATTTAATCTTACGCAGTTGTGGGAGCTGGTTAGACAGCCTGTGAAAGGCTGAGTCTTTGTGTCTGATGATGGAGCTTGAAGTATATAGGCAGATACTTATGGAGGAAGACAGTGAAGTTGGGAAAGAGAGCAAGGTGGCACTCATGAGGATGGACAGGAACCTGGATCAGTCTGTCACTGTCCCCAGCTTTGGTGCTGTGGGTGTCCTGTGGGAGAAGCTGATGCTCTTCATTATGGAAGTGAACACACACCTGGCTTAGGAGTCAGAGAAGCTGAAGGAAGACCCAGGGAAGGCAGCTCTAGCATTGTCAGGCCTGGCTGCCGCCCCTCCACTGTGGTGGGCTTGCACAGAAGCAACAGCACGGGTGAGCCACTTGGTGCTCCTGCACCAACCTTCCAGAGGCAAACACAGCATGGCTGCTGTTTCACTTCTGCCTTCCAGATCTCAACTGGAAACATACAAGGAAGGGAATGCTGAGGAGCGTAGTTCAGCCTAGCCAGGTCAGCGCATTGCAAAGCCACTGCAAGTGTATTCACCAGATGACTGGTACAGAATAGTTTATAGCTGCACTAGTTGTAGTAGCTTCAAATTGGAAATAACTTAAATGTACATCACCAGTTAAGTAGATAAATAAATTACTACATGCGTATAAGTAATAGATGAACACATCATTGCTACATTCATCAATATGGATCTTACAGAACAACATGGATCTTACAAAAAATATCGAGCACAAGACACACAAAAGAATATAAACTATAATTGCATCTGTAGAAATTTCAAAAAAGGCAAAGTTAATTCGTGGTGTTGAAGTCAGGATAATAGTTACTCTTGAGAGAGGGTTAATGATTTGGAGGGGCCATATGGGAAGCTTTTGATGTGCAGATAATGTTCTTTGGCTCTTTGATCTGGGTGCTGGTTACACTCAATGTGTTTATTTTGAGAAAATTCATTGAGTTGTATTGTTGTAGTTTGTGCACTTTTCTATACTTATACTTCAATACAATGCTCAGGTAAAATAAAGTTTTAATAAGTTATTGGGGAGTCAAGAACAGGCCGGGTTGGAGGAAAGAAACTAAGTTTGAGCTCATTGAACCCAGGAAGGAGTAAGGTGTGGGGAAACAAGGCAGTGGGTACTGCAAGAGGGAGGTTGGTTGAGTGGGATGAGGACAGAGCCTTGAAGGTCATTGTGGCTCCATCCCAGGCTGTCCCTGTCCTCTGCTGGCACATGTTATTATGAAGGGTTAGGATTGTGTATGCGGAGGTCCAATCGAGGGCTCTCGCCTCTGGTACCCATCAGGGACATTTGTGTGGTAGGGCAAGGGGAGATTGTGATTCTGCAGGTCTGGGTAGGCCCCTGGCACTTTTAAGTTTCCTCGCTGTCCTTGTGTGTTCCACAGGGGAAAAAACAACACTGGACTGTGGCGGTAATGGGCATGGATGGAAGGGGGAAGTACAGGAATGTGGGGGGAACATGGTGCTTAAAAAGCTTACTTTTACCCCCAAGGTCACCCCTCTTTCTGAGTGCTTTTTCTTGCCTTTGACCCTTACAAACACAACATTATTCTAGACTTTCTATTTTATAAAATCTTAATTCCTGTTTTCATGCTTTTTGCTTTTGTGAATTGATTAACTGATCAGAATTATGATTCGTTTCTTTAACATAAGCTATTTGAAAGTGCTTTGGACTTCATTGACGGGGTTAAATTCCCAGGACCCTCAGTTCTTTAGAGTTGGACTAAATGGCCGGTATTGTCGCTTATACAAGTGTCTTGACCTTGATGGAGCTCATGTTGCGAAATAAAGTTTACATTTTTAATTTAAAAAAGAAAAAAAAGTGCCTTGGGTTGAATATGGGATTAGGTAATCTTCTATGACGTCTGCCGTGTCCTGAGACTGGGTTGTGTATTCTCTGATGCCCTGAACAATGATCTGGAAACGCTGTTGGCTGGGATTATTGGTGGTTTTTCTAATGCCTAGGAAATTAGGATTTGAAGTGTTAATAAGAAGTTTGCCCTAAAATGAAGTCTCACAAGTAGCTTAGTGTTTTATTTTGAAAAATGTTGAATATGCATGAAAACAATAGGGAGTATTCTGTAATGTTCTCTTAAGCCTCCGGGTAACACTGTTACTGTGCAGTTCTCTGACTCCCTCAGTCTGATGGATGCTCGTTGTTGCTGCTGCGTTTAAAATCCCACCTTGTCATAATGTCATAACATTTACCCCCCTGAACTGTAACTTCTGGTCTCCTTTATCTCCTCATTTATCTCTCGACTCTGATCTCATTGGGTTCAGGGACTCTGTCTTATTCGACTTCATATCTCCAGCATACAGCTCAGTAGAAATTCAGTAATTAATCATGAGTGAATGAGTCCCAAATTTCAGGAAGCAAAGAACTGATAGTTGACCCTTAAAGAAGGGTTCACCTGGGGAGAGAGGAGAAGGAGGGAGGCAGAGTTATAGTCGTCAGAGAAGTAGGAAAAGAACCCAGATAGTATTCTATCATGGCAATCATAGAAAAAGAGGAGAAATTTTTAAGGAATGAGCAAATGCTATGAAGAGGTCAATGAGAATGAGGGTTTTGTTTTTGTTTTTGTTTTTTTTTAAAGAGTTTTGGGATTTTTCAGAGTTATTAATGGCTGTAAAACTGTGAGATAGATCAAGATCTCAAGGGATTAGGGGAAAAGAACAAGATGAGGAAACGGGGGGAGCAGGTAAAAAAAAAATACATGCAGAGAAGTGAGGCCACAAAAGGAAGATTTGAAAGTGGCGGAGGACAGTGGCAGAACCAGAAACAACATCCTCACTAGAGAAGAGAGCTGTGTCCATTTGAAGGCAGACTGCAGGAGGTTCCTTCCACGCTGGTCTCCTGGTCCTCTGGAACGACCCCTGTGGCTGATGAAGGGGATGAGCCCCAGCAGCTCAGTGGCTCTGTGTCAGGCTGAGTCAGCAGTATGTTTGTGGAGAAGCCATGCTTGCTGAGCTCTATACTAAGCCCTTTTCTTTAGTTTTGTTTCTTTTAACTTGATCTTCCTTTTCCCCCAGGAAACATGGTGGAATGGTGCTTACCTCAAGATGTTGACCTTGAAGGCGTTGAGTTCAAGTCTATGGCCAGTGGGTCCCATAAAATTCAGTCTGACTTCATGTAAGTACTTCCGAACCTCAGTCATCTTTGTACTGTTTCCCCCTCTATGCCCTACTGCCATCCCTCACACTTTCCCACAGCATAAGGGCTCTTATCTGAAGGCCTTCAGGCAGCATGTGTATAAATGCCCTGAAAACATATGTATAGTTTTGTGTTTATATCAATTTTCTAGCAAAAAGATCTCTAACTTTTCATGGGTTCTCAATGGGTTTCATGACTTAAAGAACTTGAGAATCCCTACTGTAGAGATTCTCTCACTTTCTAAGAAATGATATGGACCTCACTTGAGGTTTGATTTTAAAGAATGTAGGTTCAGCTCAGTGTGGGTTAACTGCATCTGTGTGCTAAAACTTTGTAAGAACAGTTTTCAGTCCTACATAGTTGGGCATTGAGAGTTTTGTGAGGAGGAACAAATGGAAAGAACTCAGGGTAATGAAGTAGGTTTAATCCCCCCATTGGGCTGAAAATGTCACTGATACAAGGGAGAGAAAGGGGAAGGGAGTAAAATGACAGCTCAGTTAAAAATATTAGAGACTCGGAAAGTGAGGGAACAATCGACATGGTTTATACATGAAAATAGAGTAGTAGTTCTAGAGGAGCCTGAAGATACATCTTGGTTCTGGTTCTCCCATTCAAGTTGCTAGATATGGTGCAGGAGAGAAGGGACATGTCCATGGTTGTGGGCAGCAGCGTGGCCAGCTTGCCGGAGACCACGTCCCCACTCCAGCCGGGTGACCCTTGGCGAGTTCTGTGATCTCTTTGAGCCTTGGTTGTGTCATCTGCGAGGTCGAATGGCTTGGGCTAATTGTTCCCTTGAGGTTCTAAGAACGTTTGTTTTAAGGCTGAGCTTTGTTATTTAGAGCTTTGGACACAGTTAATTTGTTTGAGGTTGCGTCCCGAAGAAAAATAAAAAATTTCTGTCTCTCATTTTGAGTCCCACTACGTGTTTGGTCTCTTTTAGCTATTTCCGAAAAGGGCCCTTCTTCGGCCTGGCCTGCTTTGCCAACATGCCTGTGGAAAGCGAGCTGGAACGTGGCGCGCGAATGAAGTCTGTGGGCATCCTCTCTCCTTCCTACACCCTGCTTTACCGATACATGCACTTCCTGGAGAACCAGGTTCGGTACGTGGCTTCCGTACTTGTGCAGGGAGGCAGCGGGATCTACCAGCTGGCGCATATGTTATGAGTCCTTGGAGATAGAGGTTGTGTGCCAGAAGAGCAGATGTCTTTCCAAGAACATCGGTGGCGGGGTTTCAAGCCTCAGGTGGTGGTCCTTGTGTTTCCACCAATGCCCCGCATAACGATTCTTCATACTATAATGAAAGCTAGGGTAGATTTTGCTCTCAGTTCACATTTAATACTGTCATCAGTTTTGTTTAATTAAATAATTTGTTAACAGGTATATGATCTTTGTTTGCCCTAAGCCACAGTAATTACCTCCTTGCCCCCAGTAGGCAAACAGG